CGAAATGAATGAATAAATCAATCTTAAAAAAAAAAAAGTTTCTTTTATGATTAAAGATCTGGTTATACTTTAACACCCAGGGAATCATGCATGTTTGCCAACAAAACTTCACTTTCTAGGCTTTTCACTGTATTGTCTTCTAAAATGCCCACGAAATTTAAAAGTTGAGCTAGAGACTAAATATACTAATTACACCAAGTTCTATATACTTCAGAGAGGGGAAGGTGGGGGGAAAGAAGGATGTGATTATTTTCTTAAAACAAACAAAAAAAACCCCTAAAAAACACTGCTTTTCCTCCTGTCTCTGTAAGTAAAAATTATCCATAAAATCTCATTTTGATCTATAAAATCTAATTTTGTTTCACTGAACAGAAATTCCAAAGGCTCTCCTTGCTACTACAGATGGACTACATGTCAAGGGCATCGACAAGAGTGACAGAAATGGCCTGTTTCTTGAACTTCAGTGGAAAGCAGCAAAAAATGTAAGGCCTCCTGGTTTCTTTCTTCATGATTTTCATAATGTCCTAAACTGTCTACTATTATACCCTCAAGTGTTTCATACTGGGTCAAAGGTGAACTACAGTCCTGGGCTTTGATTAGTTTATGGCGGTTAGTGATGTGAATTATGACGGAACGGACCCAGATCAGAACTCAGAATTGTCTGTAGCTTTGGACTGGCATCTACCCTGAGCCCTTAACTTCTGGAAAATGGTCAACTCAACTGTGAGGACCCACCAGATCCAAAGCTATCATGAACTAGTTAGCATGGCTTGTAACGTTCACTTTCCTTAAATACTTCTCTTAAAGTTTACAAACAAGGTTTGTAAAACCTCCATCCTATGAGTCAATGCCTGAGAACAGAAATGTCACTCGCTTCCTGAAGCATATGGAATCCTGGGATTCAAAACAAAGACCTGAAGGGTAGTAAAAAATTTAGAATGGGATTACAACTTAAATCAAACCTGTAACTCCAAATCTTTAAGCATTTCTCTACATTATTTCACTTGTTTAAACATTTTCTCATAACCTTCAAATGTTTTACTTTGTAGACAGTATGAAGATAGCCTTGCATGTTCTGCAACACTGAAAGAGCCTTCATTTCTTTAAAAAGATTTAATTCACTTATGCATTGAAGAACTAAGGTGTAGGCCAGAGGAGCAAGAGTGTGAGAGGACCAGATAGAGTGGTGAGCAGAATAGGCAGATCCACTAAAATATATTGCTAAGGGGAGCAGTGGGCCAGACAGTAGAGGTCTGCTGGGCCAACTGTCGGTCTGCTCTCTGGCTAGGGACTGAACTCAAACTGCAGTGTGACAGGGCTGAGGTTTAACCCCGATGCCACCAGGAGGCCCCGAAGCTCCTTTCTAAATGAAAACTTAACTCACGTAAGATAGCTGAATAGGAAATTCTAACATAGGTATTGGCAAACTTTTTCTATTAAGGGCCACAGAGTAAATACTTTAGGTGCTGGTCTCAGTTACCATAAGGATCAAGTAAACAAATGGACATCACAATCAAGTTTTACTTATTTTTAGAAAAAACAGATGGAGGGTCAGACAGTTTGCTAATCCCCTGTTCCAATCTACAATACTCAGTACTATCCTGGCCATTCTACTCTCTGGGAAATTAATGCTCCACTTACTAAGAAGTTTCCTAGCTGCCCTTTTATACACTTTGTATTTCCAAAATATCATTAAGCCTCCTTTCTAAGGGGGATTTATGGTAGGAATAAGGATTGGGGTACAAAGAAAAAAAAAAAAAAGGTGAATTAAGATTATCATTAATACAAAGTCCCTGGTATTTATCAAGGGCTAAAAGACAGATTCTGCCAGCCCAGATTTTGTCACTGTTAGTAATCCCACAATTCTGTGTGCAAACAGGAAAGCATAAAATACTAAGGCAGATGTGTTGTTTTTCATAAAAGTACACTTTAATTATGTACAGTTAAACACCTGTGTTTAAGAACACAATTTTTAGCATTCAGAGGAGATTCTGAAGTCCATTTTCTTGAAGGTTGCCTGGGGACATAAAAGCAGGACATGCTGCTCAATATATTGAAGTTAATATTCCCCCAGCATTTCCTTGAGCTCAGAGGCTAATTTCTGTTCTACTTGTGCACACAGGAATTTTCTGATGCTAAAACTGGAAGGTGGGATGGCAACCATGAAAAACTGCTTGAATGGCTGAAGTGCAAAAAAACAGGGTACCTACCTGGTCCAGCATCATCCACTATCTTTCTCTTCTTCTTCTTCTTCCGCTTCTTCTTTGATTCTGGATTAGGAAACTGCGTTGCTGCGTCACCATTGGTTAACATGGTAGATTTATTAGGGGATTTAACTTTCACATTTTCTACAGTTTCTTTAGATACATCTCCATTTTGGGTTTCTGACAAACCCACTTTCATCGACTGTTTGAGGGATTTTTTAACTTTTATGTTTTTCATTGTGTCTTTGTATACATCTCTATTTTGGGTTTCGGACAAGCCCACTTTCATAGATTGTTTCAGGGATTTTTTAACTTTTACATTTTTCATGGTCTCTTTAGACATATCTCCATTTTGGGCTTCTGGCAAGTCCACATTCACAGACTGTTTCAAGGACTTTTTGACTTTTCCACCTCCCACTGTTTCTTCAGACACACCTCCATTTTGAGTTTCTGATAGACTCGCCAATGAAGCCCCTTAAAAAAAAAAAAAAGCACATTATAATAAAGAAGGGGAGGTTTACCTATGGATTTCAGGACTGAAATTATTTGGTTGCTCTTTCATGCACATTATTTAAAACACCTCCAATTAGATTCTTAACTTCTAAACACTACTACTCTGACCTTTAAGGATGTGAGAGTTTGTGACAGGTAGGTTCAATGAGGATAACCATTTAACAGGGCCAGACAATGATGTTCACAAAATTCACACTTTAATATTAGGTATTTGATGAACACAAGACTAGTTGGTAGAGTGAAAAAGATTTACATCTTACTCACACAAGGACAGCTTCTCAGCTTCAAAACACTCAAAACTCAATTTTTCTAAATGGCAGTTAACTGCAACTTTTATTGCGGAAACCACTATTTTCCCCAATATTTACCAAATTAACTGCCTCAGAATGTCTTTACAAAAAGCTTTCCTGTTTACTATAGAAAGATATTGTAGCTTACTCAAGGTGTTAGCTATACCTACATCAAGGAGTCGTAATGTATTTCATTCACAGGAAGAGGTAATATATAAAGGAATTTCAGGAACACTCCTAAAGCCCACAATCCTGTGCTCTCTTCCAAGATTTCTTTCCATTTCTGTTGAAAACTAACTCCAGTAAAGTAAGATGTCTCCAACGTTGCTCTAAGGGGGTACATTTTGTAGGATCCCCAAAAGAGTAACATTAAAAACTTCAGGATCTCTAACCACGGTGAAGAAATTAGGACAGCAAATAAGCAGGTAATAAAAATCTTTCGGATGAAATCTTCTCCGTGTCTCTCTTCGTGAAGGATGCAAACACGGAGATGATCTCAAGGAATTTATAACCCGTGACTGGGAGTGATGAGAACACAGGGCAGAAGCGACTGACACCAAGCTGACGGTGAGGATAGTCGATAATAAAGAAACATGACGGGAAGGGGCTTGAAAATGGTATCAGTAAAGGTGTATGAAGAATGACACTTTTGTTTGAAAGAAATAGACATTTAATAGATGACATGAAACAAACACGAAAAGTTCCACGTGTCTGATTAGAAAGGCGAGGGGAGAGCGGAGAAGAGGAGGGACCCGAAAGCTCGGTGAGGCGGGAGTCAGAATGGGAAGGTGTAAGTGGAAGAGGCTGGAAGCACTTGTGGAGGCCAGGACAGGATTCATGAGACCCCTTGCCTTAAATCTGCAAGGCCAAGCTCGGGCTCTAAAAGGTCAGCGGCAGACCCTGGGCCACGAGGCGAGTCCGCCTCTGCGCGGGACCCTACCAGCGGCTGTCCCAAGCCGTCTTTTCACTTCTTAAGAAGCACTGCCTAGGTTCGGGGTCCGCTGCCAGCGCTACACCGAGGTCCCGGGGCGCCCGAGCAGCGCTGCTGGGACAGGGACCGACGTAGTGCCCCCACCGGCCTAGAGAGGGTTCCCGCAGCAAGCGAAGCTGCCGGGAACTTAGTGCATCTCACCCTGTAGCTTTAGGTTTCGCTGGCGCAATTTGAGGTTCCGCTTCTCGATCTTCTTGCGCAGGAGTTTCATCGGTAGATGAGACATGTTTTCGGCTAAGCACCTTCACCGAGGCGCCACAGCCTGGATTCTCTGCAACCCCAAATTGACGTTACCTCCACCTCGGATCGCAACTCCGTGCGCAGCTCACCCCGCCGCACATGCGTCCCAGTGAGGCCAGGGGCCTTCAGGGCGGAAGTGCGTTCGGCAGAAATGCTTCCGGGCTGGTGCCCAGTTGTACCGATGGAGAACGGATTGTGTGTAGTGCCCCCTGGAGGACGGAGGTCAGGCTGCGCTTCGTGCTCACCTTGTGCCAGAGTTGGCTACTCTGCAGGGAGATTGGAAATTCTGGTCGCTGGAGCCACCCCAAAGGGACTGAAGAAACAAAGAGGGACGGAAGACCTTAGGAAGTTGAGTGAAACCAAACTTGTTTGACATTCTCCATAGTGTACACATTAATAGAACTTTTCTCAAAGCAACACCCTTACTCTTGAGTTTTAGTCTGGTTTTTGTCCCTCCTTTCCACCCTATTATTAATCTATTTAACATTTCGACGACTATGCTTTAAAATTCATTTTTACTGAGGTATTACTCAGTATGCAGCCTGGAAAGCAGAGGTTTTTTTTTTTTTTTTAATTAAAGATTTTATTTATTTGTGCATACAAAACTGGTGTACAGGCCAGAGGCTCAGGGGCGGTGAGAGGCTTCACAGAGACAGAGCAGGGAGCAGAACAGGCAGATCGACGAAGTACACTGCTGAGGGGAGCAGCGGGCGGGTCAGGAGAGGTCTGCCGCGCCATGTGGTCACCTCTGGGGTAGGCGGGGATCGAACTCATGCGAAAGTGGCCTTAGCTTCTCAGTGCAGTGCTTTAACCCGCTGCGCCACCAGGGAGGGCCAGAAAGCAGAGGTTTTTAATCACCACCTCCCCTACCCGTCTAGACCCTTTAGGAATTCAGAACAGAAATTACAATCTGGGTAGTTGATAGGCATCTTTTTATGAGGGGTGTATAAAATATTTAATTTAAAAAGTCAACAAGGGCCCTTCCTTGTGGCACAATGGGTTAAAGCACAGCACTATGAAGCAATCTGCAGCTCCTGCTGCACAAGTTCGATCCCTGGCCAGGGAGGTGACACACATGGCACATCAGACCTCTCATGACCAGCCCGCTGCACCCCTCAGCAGTATATTTTAGTACATCCGCCTGTTCTGTTGCCCATTCTGTCACCCCTTGCACCTCTGACCTGTACCCCAGTTCTTATATACACAAATAAATAAATCTTTTTTTTTAAAGATTTATTTATTTATTCATACAGAACTGGGGTACAGGCCAGAGATGTGGAGGTTGAGAGGATTCACCAGAGACAGAGTGGGGAGCAGAACAGGCTGACTGACGAAGAACACTGCTGAGGGGAGCAGCGGGCGGGTCAGGAGAGGTCTGCCACACCATGTGGTCACCTCCGGGGCAGGCGGGGATTGAACTCATGCGGAAGCGGCTTTAACTTCTTAGTGTTGTGCTTTAACCCGCTGCGCCACCAGGGAGGGCCTAAATCTTTTTTTTTTTAAGGTGCATGGAAATGCTTAACATTTAGGGATGGATAAACTTTGTGTTGTGTTATAAACCTAATAGTGGCAACTTTTATGACTTTTTAGGAGAGGAATGAGAAATGGTAACCTTGTATATGCTCTCAAAATTGTGGGTTGGCTTTGTGTTAATAGAGTAAATTTCCAAGACTAGATCTAGGAAACAAATGAATATCCTGAGGTTAGGTCTCAGAAAGATCTATGAGTGCCTCCCTGGTGGTGCAAGGGGTTAAGTCTCAGCACTATGAAAGATTCGCAGCCTCAAAGCCGTGGCAGCATGAGTTCAATTCCCAGTCAGGATGGTGGCCCAGATGGTGCAGCAGACCTCTCCTGTCTTGCCTCCTACGCCCATCAGCAGTGTTTTTCAGTAGATCCATTTGTTCTGCTCCCCACTCTCTCTCTGGTGAATCCTTTCACCCACCCCATCCCACACACACCTTTGGGCAACACCCCAAATCTTGTATGTATAAATAAATCATTTTTTAAAGATTTATTTATTTGTGCATACAGAACTGGGGTACAGACCAGAGGCTCAGGGGCGGCGAGAGGCTTCACAGAGACAGAGTGGGGAGCAGAACAGGCAGATCAATGAAGTACACTGCTGAGGGGAGCAGCGGGCGGGTCAGGAGAGGTCTGCCACACCATGAGGATCACCTCCGGGACAGGTGGGAATTGAACTCATGCAGAAGTGGCTTTAGCTTCTTAGTGCTGTGCTTTAACCCGCTGCGCCACCAGGGAGGGACAATAAATAATTAAAAAAAAACCAAAAACCCTATTAGTGGAATTTGTTCAGTACATCCTTTCCCTCCAACAGGAGGAGTATGATAGGTGCGTGCTAAGTCTGGGAGTGGAAAGATGAATAAGGATTGGCCTGGCTAACCTTCATGGAGCTTACAGAGCTTAAGTAGAGAACACAGACAAGTAAACAATCATGGAAACTGTGCAGGAGTAAGGAAGCATATGACAGGACACCACTCCTTCTGGGAAGTGGGGGAGAAGTGTCTTTCACCCCATGTGTCCTCTGCATTGGCTCTGAGCTAGGGGCAGACCAAGCAGCGGGTGGAGATTCTACTTTCACATGCCTACTAGAAACATTGAAATCTAATCAGGACCATACTTTACCTCTGCCCTTTTCCCAATTTCATTTGAGATCCTTAAACCTTAGGCCAGTGTTTGTAAAATAATAGATTTACGTGAAGTTCATTCAAATAATAAAAGACTCACTTCACTGAGAAAGAAAAGCAGTCTATTTCACAAAATCCTTAGAATCTGGGTCAGAAAAAACTGACCATCCAATCACTGCATTAGGATACTTGAAGTGATCCTCTAGCAATTTCTATTGCTATTTTCTACAAGGTTAATCACTCCATGGTCTGCAGGAACTGAGAGCTATGTTATTGTAAACAAGCAGGTGATGCTCCCTGCATGTGACTCGATTTTCCTGGACAGATTCTAGTGCTTTGTATTTCTGCACTGTATTCTGAAGATGGCAGTTGCTTGAGAAATGACTTCAGTGTATCAGTGTATCAATACATCACCATAATTCTCTGAGTTGTCATAATGGCCAATACAGAACTATGAAGACTGTGAAGACTGTCTCTCAAAAAAAAAACAAACAAACAAACAAACAAACAAAAAAAAACTCTGTGCCAGGCACTGTTTTTCTTAGTAGTTGGAATGAGTGTCACTCTGGGGCCCACAAATCTAGCACACTCTGAAGGGATTCTGCCATCTGCCACATAAAGACAACACATATTCTTGGTGTGTAAGACCTTCAGAAGAAAATAATTTTAATAGAATTAATATGCAACAGAGGGAAGAAAAATAATTTAGTTAAAAAAAGTATCCCAGGCCCTGCCTGGTGGTGCAAAGGGTTAAAGCACAGCATTGTGAAGCTATGGCAGCCACTGCAGCACGAGTTCGATCCTCTGCCAGAGAGGCCACCCACATGGCGTGGCAGACCTCTCCTGGCCTGCCTGCTGCTCCTCTTAGCAGTACATCTGCCTGTTCTGCTCCCCACTCTGTTTCTGGTGAATCCTCTCACCCCTGCAACCTCTGGCCTGTACCCCAGTTCTGTATGTATAAATAAACAAATCTTAAAAAAAAGTTTCCCGATGAAGCATCCAAAATTATGCATCCCCTTGTGGGTAAACGCCCAGCCAAAGCAGGGCCACTGAGGTCCATCAGCCCGTGACAGGTCTAAGAGGGGAAGCCACAGGAAGGGACAGAAGTGGCCAGGCAAGTCTGGAAAGAAAAGAGCAAAATCCAAGCCAAGATAAAAGATGCCATTGTCAGCCTGCCCCGTGGGTCTCTCACTCATGTCTCTTTCAAGTCTCTCCTTTCGATCCCCCAAGTCCCTGGTAAAAGGCTGAGACGCAAGTGTGGCTTCTCTTCACATGCCTCTCTACTCTGCAGGCCTCCTCCAGGTCTTCTCCTGAAGTCTATTTTTAACTTCCACTTGGATTCTCCTCCATGCTCAGATCCACCTCCTTGTGGACATGGGGGGAGGGAACATGCAACCCCCCCTTTCTTAGAATATAACACACTGTTAACATTTCTAGGGAGTCTCCATAGGGGAGATATGTTAACCAGGTATGTGAGTGAGTGAACTAGGGGACTTCAATTTGAGCCAAAAGCTGGAGAGACATTAAAACAAGAAGATGTAGTATAAATGAGAAAGATGGGCCTGGGGTCAGGGCTTTGTGCTTCTCAAGGAGGGAGTATTTTTGTGGAAACAAGTCAGTCATGCTAAGGTTGGAGGTCAGAGAAATGATTGGCAAAGACAGACTGATATTCGATATCAGTTCAGGTGCAGGAAAGCACCTGCAGAAGCGAGTCTGGGGGCTGGGCCAGACTTGAATACTGGCAGGGGTGGGGTGGTGAAAACTTCAAATACATGACTTCCTTTGCTTTCTAGAGATCTCCAGTCACTGACGATTGGGTCACAGATTGACTCTTTGCTTATCCAGGATGTTGTGAAAACAAGTGTTCAGTGTGAGATTTATTTTTACTATATTTATTTTTCTTTTGGCAAGAGTTTTATTGTACAAAAATGTGGCAAAGATCCTACCTGTTACCCTGTTTCCCCTAATGTTAACAAGGTAGGTAGCTGTGACCTGTGTGAAAAAGGAGGAGGACACACTAATATCTGACTAGAAATGAAACTGAAACCTTTATGCAGATTTCACCAATTTTTCTATTAATGTCTTTTACTGACCTAGGATCCACTCCAAGATACCACCTTGCTGTCAAGAGAATTTTATGAAATATAAATATTGTCATTTCTTAACCACTCTGTAAGTTCTATATCTCAGTTTTTAAATGTGTCATTAAAAAAAGGATTTATTTATTTATGCATATAAGAACTGGGGTACAGGCCAGAAATGCAGGGAGTGAGAGGATTCACCAGAGACAGAGTGGGGAGCAGAAAGGCAGATTGACTAAAACACACTGCTGAGGGGTGCAGCAGTTTCGACCACTAGGGAGGGCCTAAATGTCTCATTTTTTACTGATCCTTTATGAGGACAACCCAAGTTCTCCCCTCCCTTTCTACCCCATACTCTCCCCCAG